TTTGTCGTCCAATATAGCGTACACATTAACGGCTTTATCTGGGAAGTTCTTCGAGTACACACGGACCTGAACGGTTTTCCCACATGATTTACCACTAAATCCACATAACGACGTGCACTTCCACAATGTTCACATTTAGGCGTCACGGTACAATTTCTTAACATATGTGTTGTCGAATGACAGCAATTGAAACAAATCTTATTGTCCTTGAGATATTTTCTACGATCTTCATAAGTCATTGCTTTAAAAGCTCGACAAGTATTTAAATGGTGATTGGCTTTATGAATAGGACAACGAACAGCCTCTTTCTCTTCATTCTGTTTCAGATTCACATCTGTTTTTCGGTTAAACACCGACGTTGCGCAATGGTTAATTTTCCGAGTATCATTTGTTCTTTATGAATATGTTGTTTCAGTATTACTATAAATAAACGCAGGATCGTTTTTGACAGCACTAACCTCTCTGATAAATTGCACAAAATACGACAATAGTGGAAATGGTACGTTGTTTCTCAGTTTGTATTGCGATGCGCGTGTTGTGCACGCACTTTTCTTGTATATTATTCGGGTACTTGTCCACGATTGGTAAAACACCAGAGGGAGAGTCGAAATATGACAATAAATTCGAAAATGTCTCACTCTCTTTGGAAGATACGATTTGTGTGAGAATATCCAATAGTTCATAAAGTCGACTATGATCCTTGTTTGTTAATTTTGGAAACTTCTGTAGTTTTGTTTTAATTGCCGCCTCTGCCATCTCAGGTCTACCATAGCGTTCTTCGAGACGCTCCCATATACGACGAAGACCAGTATTTGGATTATTAACATTTGACGTACGAATATTTTGCGAAAACTTTGAAGATTCACGGCCAAGCCATTTTACTGATAATCCATTTCTTCGAAAGCCGTAGCTGAGAGTTCAGGACAGTCATCAAACTTCTGAAACCTAGAAAGTATTAAATCTTTCTTTAATAAAAACTTAGTCAAGTTGGACACTACAGACTGATCATGTTTTGGTGGCAGTGGTGGCTGAGTAACTTCAAAATCAGCTGCACATGGATTTAATGGGTTTTTTTTGTTGAATTTCTGGTTTGATATCTTCAGCCATCGATCGATCCAAATTATCGACTTCAAACCTCGGCAAATTCTTTGGTGTAGGATTCATGTTAAACTGGTTCCGAGGTGCCTAGCATGCGAACTGAAATTATCTTGTTCGGAATAACTTGTGGAACGTTGTTATTCTTGTCTTGAGTTTTGAGTTGTTCTACTTCTTTAAATTTATCGTTCACATATTTTTCTGTTAGTGTCATTTTCACTTTTTCTAACGGTTCTTTGTCTTCTTGTAACGACAACGATCTTTTATCGCTCCTGACCTCTGTGACAGCGGTCTCTGTCTGTGGTTTAAGCAGTGCTAAATCCGCATCATCTTTAGCTTGTTCACGATCCCTTAAAGCCTTAAGACTGTGTTTCTAATTCACTTCATCTTGCTTTTTGCTTAATTAATTTTGTTTTTTGTTCGGCATGTTGTAACTTTGTTCGCTGAACTTCTGCTTTTACACGTTTCTTAGCTATAACTGAGCTTGAAATTGACCCACTTTTACCACTATTGTTCGAACAGACAGACTGCACAGGAGCTACTGACATTGTTTCAGCAGCAGCTAATTTCAATGTCTTAATTTGTTGTATTGTACTGTTTATTATTTCAGTGCACTTTTTAAACGCCGTCTTAAAAGTGGATAATGTTTCATTACTGTCTCCATTATTTTTCCGTGTCAAAAACTGAACATAATTATTTGAGTTTTCATAATGTTTGTCATGGGACTTCAAAATGTTTTTCACTAGTTTGCGTACAGGTTTTAACTCCTTCGAGCAATCTGTAAATTCTTCTATTAAATTTTCAACAGTTATCCTCGACCCGTCAATTTGCTTAAGGTACTTTACCTTGTGTGATTCGTAAAGTTCTTGACCTTTCTCTGTCATCTTATGTTCATGTGTCGTCTTAGACGGAAGTGGTTGTGATTGTGCCATTTCATAAAATTGTTAGTAGGAACCACATGTCTGCATATTAATCTGTATTAAACTTTACAATCTTCTTACTGTTCTGCCTCAGCACATAGTATAACCATAAAACACAAACAGGTCTAGTCATTTATTCCGAAAACCATGAAATAATAATGAGTTTTACATATGTGTGCTGTCATATTGGTAAAAAGCTACAAAAAATAAACACAAAAACCTTCTAACTAATCATACACATGTGTGCAAAAATCATAAAATGATATGTCTTGGTATGTGAGATTACCTGAGTGCTCATTTATTCCTAATTTTTTTACAAGACACTCGTAGTAGTACGATTTACATACAAAGACAACATTATTTGAAGCTTTGTCCGCAGGAACAACAACATATTTATCATGAAGTGATGATAGACATTTCACAGCCTCTTTGTCTCTGAAAACGGACTTTGGTCGATCATTCACACTGTTTTTCACCTTATGAATGCGACGTTTTATCAGAGACCTGATTGTTTTGACACATTTTGACAAAGTGTCCAGTTCAACTTCTTCTCGTTTAGCCCATGCTCTGGCGTAGTCCTCAATGGAATCCATAATTATTTTGAAGTTATGGTTCCAATTGATGTGTTGGGGTTCTCTAAACTTAGGACCATGAGAAATCACCTTTCGGAGCAGTATTTTTTTCACCTTCTTCTATTCATTTTGCTCTTGACCTTATTTGAGCTCCTTTAGTTTATTCAAGGTATAATTGATCTAAATGGTCGGTTATATTATTTATCTGTGAAAGTAAATCAGAATTAGTATTGCTCTCACTTTGATCTAATTTAATATTAAGCTTATTAAGGTCTTCTTCATGAGTTTGAATTTTATATCTTTTTTGTTTTGCTAAACTGCTATCCCGAACTTCAGCTTTAAAGTTATCCCACAATATACCTAAATTTTTTGCAGTTTTTCCCTTTTTGTCATAATGTTTTACTAGTTTTTCTATATTACTTATTATTATCCTTTCCCTTTGTTTATTTTATTAAATTATTAACTATTTGTGATTTACAATCTTTACTTACAAGGAAGAAGTCAATTCTAGTTGCTTCTTACCCTAATTTTCTACGCCAAGTATATTTAATTTGTGTGGGGTTTTATCTCTTCATATATCTATAAATTTGAAACATTTTATGAGCGTTTTTAGCCCGTGAACTGGTTTGTCAAATTTTTTTTTTTTGTTCTTTTATTTTTTGTATCATTAATTGTTGGAATGTCTGCTCTGCCTCAGTGCATAGTATAATCATAAGCCACAAACAGGTATAATCATTTATTCCGAAAAACCATGAAATAATAATGAGTTCTACATATGCGTCCTGTGATATTGGTAAAAAGCTACAAAAAACAAACACAAAAACCTTAGCTAACTCATCATACTCATGACTGCAACAATCATAAAACTAACAGCTCAAATCCATGTATCAAAATGAATGTTCAATCAGATTAATCAAAAGTTATAGCACCAAATGGCTTTCCATACATTTGTAAAACAACACTGACAAAATTAACAATAATCATATTTCACTTTTGGTTGATATACAAATACACAAAATTTATCTTGATGTGAAAACATATTAACTTTCATCATACAATCATAAAAACCTATGAAATATAAACTTACATTGTGAGTCGGCGTAGTTTATGATACTTTTAAAGTATAAAAAATCTAACACTCAAAAAATTTCGGGGAAACGTATGAAAAATCGATAGTCCTTTTTAACAATAAAAAATCAACACTGGTAACAGTACAATGTCATTAAAATCTCCTCCTATTATAATGTGTCCTAAACTATGCTCTTGAGTCCAGTCTTTTACTTTTATAAAGAAAGCGTTTCTTTTCTTCTTCTTTTTTTTTTGCTATATTTGTTGCATATATGTTTATAAGAGAATAGACATTATCTCCTAATTCAACATTAATTAATAGATAACGTCCCTCCTGATCTTTATATTCATTTATAATATCATATCTTGTATGTTTTGAAAACGAAATAGCTACACCTCTTGACCCGCTTCTACCCCAAATATGAAAAATTTCTCTTGGATTTAAATCATTTATACTTTTGGTGAAATGCGTTTCTTGCATCATCAAAATTTGGCATTTTTGGTGTTTGCACCACTCAAATATTTTTTTTCTTTTTTCAGATTGCATAAACCATGAGTGTTTACAGAACATATGTGAAGTGGTTTAGTAGCCATTTGTTTGAAAAGGCTAGTTTATTTACTTTGTGATTACCTTTCTTTATTTGTTTGTTCTTTCCGATTATTTTATTTATTCTGGTACGGTACCTTTCATTAATTGTTAACTTCAATGTTAATATTGTGATCAATTAATACTGAAACAACTTTCTACTCGAATCATTCGATCAAAAGAACGTCTTTGTCCTAGTCGAGAAGAAATAATTCATGAAGGCTTGAACTTACATCGGTTTTGCGACGAATTTGCCCTTTCGATCTATTTGAGAGCTAAAAAGTTTAATGATGTAATTATTAATTCACGTAACTGACATTTCAGTGGTCCGTATTCAATGCAATTAAGTAACTATTATTTTTATATATCAGTTTGAGTATTGATTATCTATCATATCATATCATATCATATCTTGCATGGTTTAGTCTCATTCATTCTATGATAGTTAGGCATATTCAATTATATATATGTCTGCCTTGTTGTACTTTTTCATCAAGTTGTCATTTAAACCTTTTTTCTATGTATTATCACACAGGCAATACACGGGTTATATCCTCACATATCTGCGTAATTTATTAAGACGTGCATAGTTGTAAATTTATACCATCAGTAAATCTAAATGACTAGCAAAATTCATATGAGAAGCTGCAGTATCTAAACACTTTTCAATGTTTGTCAATTTGTTAAAAAAAAACAATATTGTCAGTATATTATTATTATGACAAACGAAATACTTGTCGATATTTCTTAATCTTAATACTAAAAAAGTTCTGCATTGTTGACCAGTAACATCTTTACTATTTCTATATTATTAGAATGACAAGCAATGCGCAATGGAGATGTTCCATCATCTATACACTTATTAATGTCCGCATTATTGTCGAGTAATATCTTTACTATATCTATACGATTATTCTGACAAGCAATATATAAAGGAGATGCTTCGTTATTATCACACTTATTAATGTCTGCCTTGTTGTCCAGTAATATCTTTACTATCTCTATATGATTGTTCTGACAAGCAAAATATAAAGGAGATGCTCCATCATCTGTACACTTATAAATGTCTGCCTTGTTGTCCAGTAATATCTTTACTATCTCTATATGATTGTTCTCACAAGCAACATGCAAAGGACATGCTCCATCATCCGTACACACATTAGTGTCTGCCTTGTTATGCAGTAATAGTTTAACTACTTTTATATGATTATTAAGACAAGCTCTATACAAAGGAGATTCTGTATTATCTGCATACTTATTAATATCGGCATTGTTATCCAGTAATATCTTAACTATCTCTATATTATTCAAATGACAAGCGACATACAGCGGAAAGGTTCCATCACAATTAGACTTATTAATGCATGCATTGTTGTCAAGTAATAACTCTACTATCTGTATATGATTATACTGACAAGCAATATATAAAGGAGATACTTCGTTTTCATCACACTTATTAATGTCTGCATTATTGTCCAGTAATACCTTTAAAATCTCGATATGATTATTCTGACAAGCAATATATAAAGGGGATGCATCATGATCTTCACACTTATCAATGTCTGCATTGTTGTAAAGTAAAACTTTTACTATCTCTGTATGTTTATTCCGACAAGCAACATGCAATGGGGATGCTCCATCTTCATCACACGTATTAAAGTCTGCTTTGTTGTCAAGTAATACTTTTACAATCTCCGTATTACCTAAGTAACAAGATATAAACAAAGGAGATGCTCCAACGTTTGTACACTTATTTATGTCTGCCATGTTATCCAGTAGTACATTTACAATCTCTAAATGATTTTCCTGACACGCTACATACAATGGAAAATTACCACCATCCTTACACTTATTAATGTCTGCCTTGTTGTCTAGTAATACCTTTACAATCTCTATATGATTATTCTGACAAGCAACAAACAAAGGAGATGATTCATCAGTCATACACTTATTAATGTCTGCATGTTTATCCAGTAACACCTTTACTATCTCTATATGGTTCCAGTAACAAGCAATATACAGAGGAGATTCTCCATTATCTCTACACTTATTAATGTCTACCTTGTTGTCCAGTAATATCTTTGCCATCTCTATAAGATTATTCTGACACGCAATATACAAAAGAGGGGCTCCTCTATCACACTGATTTATTTCTGCACCGTTTTCCAATAACAACTTTGCTATTTCTGTAAAATTATGGAAACAAGCAAAACTCAAAGGAAATCCCCCATTTATTCTAGAATTATTAATGTCTGGCTTGTAATCGAGTAATATCTTTACTAGCTCTATATAATTATACTGACAAGCAATGTCTAAAGGCGATTCTCCTCCAACTGCACACTTGTTAATGTCTGCTTCGTTTTCCAATAATAACTTAACTATTTCTGCAGAATTATTATGACATGCAGTATGCAAAGGAGTTACTTGAAAATGTTCCAAGTCTGAACATTTATTAACGTCTGCCTTGTTAGCCAGTAATACTTTAACTATGGCAGTATTGTTTGTTTGACAGGCAACTAACAACGGAAATGCTCCATCGGCTGCACAATCATTTACGTTTGCCTTGTTATGCAGTAATATCCTAACTATCTCTGACTGACCTGTTTGTGATGATACGATCAAAGGATTATGACCATAGACATTACACTTGTTAACATCAACATTATGATAAATACACCATTGTATCAATGGAATATCATTATATTGACTACATCGTGCCAGTACAGTGTCTTTGAATATAGCATCACATGTATGCGCTAATTTTCTCTGGAATGAAATATCAAGAGTTTTCAAGTAACGAAGGAATCTCTCTCTGAATTCTGATATTTTCATATTGATATTTTCAAAGACTAACGAAACTTCACCTTCAGACCAGTCTTCAATCATTCTTTGTATGTACAACTGATGATGATTAGGTGGTACACTTGTGACAAACTGATCTATATTATCTTTTCTTTCTAACAAAAATCTTTGTGAAATAACAAAGATGCCTGCATTCCTGATTATACACTCGATAATTGTTTTTCCAAAATAGAAAACTAAGAAGTCAAATATTTTATCATGTTTAGATTTGTATACACCATGCTCTCTCTTTATTAAAGAATGTTCTAGTGACTTCAGTTCTTCTAGTAGGACAAGTGGTGATGTTCCTCTGTCCAGTCTACACGCCTGACATGTGTTATCTATTTTTGTTTTTATGCTTGTATTAGTATGCTCTGTGAACCATTCTTCCTTCAATGTGTTGTCGAACATAACACACAAAGCCAAAGCACAATATTTTCCATAGTGTCCTTTCTTAAGCAATTTGTCAATCTCTCCTTCATAAACAGAAAATGGAGTCTGGAAGAAATCTTTAATATCTAATTCCGGATTATCCTTGTATAATTTACAGAGAAGTGGAAAGCAATCATATAACTCACAGTACTTGATAATCTCTGATGATTTTGTTTCCAGATATAATTCTGCAATTTTCATCCTCTCTTTTTGTGTTAAACACAAATCTTTTGATAGCAGGTCGCATACACATTCTCTAAAAATTGATAAAGTTTCAAATTTGCCATCCTGAAACACTTGTAATCGGCATGCCACAATAATTGACACGCTACATACAATGGAAAATTACCACCATCCTTACACTTATTAATGTCTGCCTTGTTGTCTAGTAATACCTTTACAATCTCTATATGATTATTCTGACAAGCAACAAACAAAGGAGATGATTCATCAGTCATACACTTATTAATGTCTGCATGTTTATCCAGTAACACCTTTACTATCTCTATATGGTTCCAGTAACAAGCAATATACAGAGGAGATTCTCCATTATCTCTACACTTATTAATGTCTACCTTGTTGTCCAGTAATATCTTTGCCATCTCTATAAGATTATTCTGACACGCAATATACAAAAGAGGGGCTCCTCTATCACACTGATTTATTTCTGCACCGTTTTCCAATAACAACTTTGCTATTTCTGTAAAATTATGGAAACAAGCAAAACTCAAAGGAAATCCCCCATTTATTCTAGAATTATTAATGTCTGGCTTGTAATCGAGTAATATCTTTACTAGCTCTATATAATTATACTGACAAGCAATGTCTAAAGGCGATTCTCCTCCAACTGCACACTTGTTAATGTCTGCTTCGTTTTCCAATAATAACTTAACTATTTCTGCAGAATTATTATGACATGCAGTATGCAAAGGAGTTACTTGAAAATGTTCCAAGTCTGAACATTTATTAACGTCTGCCTTGTTAGCCAGTAATACTTTAACTATGGCAGTATTGTTTGTTTGACAGGCAACTAACAACGGAAATGCTCCATCGGCTGCACAATCATTTACGTTTGCCTTGTTATGCAGTAATATCCTAACTATCTCTGACTGACCTGTTTGTGATGATACGATCAAAGGATTATGACCATAGACATTACACTTGTTAACATCAACATTATGATAAATACACCATTGTATCAATGGAATATCATTATATTGACTACATCGTGCCAGTACAGTGTCTTTGAATATAGCATCACATGTATGCGCTAATTTTCTCTGGAATGAAATATCAAGAGTTTTCAAGTAACGAAGGAATCTCTCTCTGAATTCTGATATTTTCATATTGATATTTTCAAAGACTAACGAAACTTCACCTTCAGACCAGTCTTCAATCATTCTTTGTATGTACAACTGATGATGATTAGGTGGTACACTTGTGACAAACTGATCTATATTATCTTTTCTTTCTAACAAAAATCTTTGTGAAATAACAAAGATGCCTGCATTCCTGATTATACACTCGATAATTGTTTTTCCAAAATAGAAAACTAAGAAGTCAAATATTTTATCATGTTTAGATTTGTATACACCATGCTCTCTCTTTATTAAAGAATGTTCTAGTGACTTCAGTTCTTCTAGTAGGACAAGTGGTGATGTTCCTCTGTCCAGTCTACACGCCTGACATGTGTTATCTATTTTTGTTTTTATGCTTGTATTAGTATGCTCTGTGAACCATTCTTCCTTCAATGTGTTGTCGAACATAACACACAAAGCCAAAGCACAATATTTTCCATAGTGTCCTTTCTTAAGCAATTTGTCAATCTCTCCTTCATAAACAGAAAATGGAGTCTGGAAGAAATCTTTAATATCTAATTCCGGATTATCCTTGTATAATTTACAGAGAAGTGGAAAGCAATCATATAACTCACAGTACTTGATAATCTCTGATGATTTTGTTTCCAGATATAATTCTGCAATTTTCATCCTCTCTTTTTGTGTTAAACACAAATCTTTTGATAGCAGGTCGCATACACATTCTCTAAAAATTGATAAAGTTTCAAATTTGCCATCCTGAAACACTTGTAATCGGCATGCCACAATAATTTTCATTAGTTTATTCTGAATGTTAAATTCGATTCGTTTCAGGACTGTTTCCCAATTGTTCAGGTCCGTCTGGTTGATGGAATAAGTTCCACAAAAATCATCAATGACAAATAAAGTTTTCACATTTGGATTGTAAAAGTTAACAATGTCATGTGGATTTGTTACTAGTAGTATATCATACCCTTCAGTTGCCATTTTTAATGCCACATGTTGAAGAATAGCTGTCTTCCCAACACCAGAACTAGCAGTAATAGTTACACAACTTTTATCCAAAATACAATCCAATATATGTTTAGCAGCTCTAGTCTCAACAAATTTATTTGTTTTCCATGATTTCAATGTCTGAATGAATTGCACTGAAATATATAAATATGATCAAGTACTTCTATGCCATTTTTAGCTTTAAATCAGTGGTTATATGGACTGGTGATTGTAGACTTACTAAACGGACAGAACCATGGCCAAAAGTTACATTCGATGATGTCACCATCGACGAATATTGGACAGGGTTACAAGCGGATTGTGGCAATTATTTTAGAATATCAAAATATCATGAACTGATAAAATCATTTCCAAAAGTTGAAGATGATCATATAATAATCTAAACTTTGCTAAAGTACCAATATTTAGCTTCCTTGCTGACAATTTTATTGTGAGATAATATTTTCATTTATGATACGTTTTATAAGATATACATGAAAAGCGGTCGTTATAAGGAATTAAAAAGTCTATATTGACTTTTATCGTAGAGTTGATCAGGTTGTGTATGGCTTTCCTTGGTGGATTAGTGGGTTGTTAAAAATGCATAACTTAACAGCAGGCAAACTAGAATTCTTCAAAAGAAAAAAAGAAGACATTAGTCATACTACTATTTGCCATGAAAATTTGGGCTTGCATGAAATCGTATTATGAGGCTGTACAATGTATACGACATAACCACCAACTGCAGACACCTGATTTCCTTTGTATTTTGCATCACAGACTGACCGCTTTCTTCATTACTCTGTCTGGTACATTATATAATTAATATGCAGGGTCAGATACAGTTACATCTCTGTTTTTTTATATATCTATTCTGAGGACTAGCAGCTCCAAACTCACAATAATTTATTTTGAACCCTAGATGTATCAATGTTCCATATCCTTGTCATCATCTTCGTTTCTCTTTTGTTGTAATACTTAGTCAATGTATAAATAAGAAGATGTGGTATAAGTGTAAATGGGACAACTATCAATCCAAGTCACAATGTGTAAAAAAAACAATTATAGGTCTTCAACATAGAGCAGGTTCATTTCATACTTGTTATTTCAATTGTACCTTTTATGATTGGTCAGAGGTTCATAACATAATGGCTCTTACCTTTTATGTTCCAAGGTACTGTTGTCCTGTCCAACGTTTTTGTCCGTAACACTTTACATTCTTCAAGCATGTTACGGCCACCTAGTCGTCCGACAGCCTGTTAACACAAATTGCAGCTTTATGTTACTCTAGTCGTATATGTTAATTCAAATAAATCTTTCACTCGTCAAGCATATGTTTTTCGATTTTTCAACCAATCAAAATCTTCAAACATAAAACTTTACAAAAGTATGCGCCCATTTGACTCATTGTCTTCCTCTCAAATGTCATATTGAGTGACCCGAACCAGTTAGCCAGAATCAAAACATAATTTACAAAAACGTTTTAAGATAAAAAAAAAAAAAAAAAGATTAAGAAGATGTTCTTATAATAATACACATTCGTATTGGGTTTGAAGCCGATGTGACCCATATACATGATAAACTATCTTAGATAAAAAAACAAAAAACTTAACTTGATGCAAAACAGACGAATGGACAACCCATGGATGGACAGATCAGACTTATTATGTTGAAGCTGAACATAGGTGTTTTTAATGTTATGACAACTTTTTCTTAATATCAAAAGATTCGATAGAAAATAGTGCTGAATAAGTTATCAAACAAATCAATTATTCATACCTCAACAATATCATCCCATTCTGTGCTGAAATTTGAATTGTCCATCTTCCCATCTTTATTGTGTGATAATTCGTTCCTATAGAGTCTTATCCTCGCCAAGTCAGCTGCTGTTTTAGTGTCTGTTTGTAACGGTAATTTATCGTAATGAATCAATTTAGTAAGACTTGTAAGTAATGTTACCATCAAAGTCACATCAAACTTGTTTGAAACTGGGTAATCTATAAATAAGTTTAGAAATTATTAGAAAACTAAGGTTCAAAATCCCGCAGGCAAAGATGACTTTATGAGGATTTGAATTTCCTTTCAGATTTCTTTCGTCATTTAAGCTCTTCGTGAATGTCAGGGCATCTAAAGTTCCTGGTGAAGTTAAATCAGAAAAGTTTTTCGAAGGCACCAAATTTATCAATGTAATTTTCTTCTTTCAACAGAATCAAATTAAACCAATCATATGGGCAAACTATTCCATTGACGGAGACATACTGAAATGTCCTGACAAGTCGTGTGGTTAATTGATTAAGTGCATCTGGACCAAAAAGTAAGAGACAAAATAGTTTCAACCGGACCGAAAGTTTTATGATTATACAGCAAACGAGAGGGATAAGTAGTTAAAAACAACACAGTATAGGTAATTTTCCATTGATTTTATTCGAGTTCGAATAAATTACCCCGGTTTTCCATGTTTGAAGTGAAAATGGTTGATTTTCTAATCTGACTTAGGAAATCTGATAACAGATTCTCACTTTATAATGAATATGTATATTGATTTGGAAGTTGATGTCACCACTATCTATTATTTACTAAAACTTTAACCTGCCTTTCAACAAATTGCAACCACATATGGAAGTCCCTTCTCGCAAATACAAGACAGCATCAGCCCCTCGTCTACCTCTTAAGCACGTTTTGGTTGAGCATACAAAATACTGCAACAATTTGATCATCATGTGTCATTACAGCCTACTGCCAGTAACTGTGATAATTCTTTTAGTACGGTATTAATTGTATAATATGATATTTTTTATTTATGAGGTTGTTTTCAAACCAAGTGTAGAGGTAATTTAATAAGAAATTTTATTTAAAATTATCTTACTGTATCATCTCTAATGAAGTGATCATTAATTTGAACGAATATGTACTAAACGACTCGTTCAAATGTCTTAAAAATTGTAATACTCATGACTGAATTCATGTTTAAAATCTTGAACTCTGGTAGACAGACATCTACGTTTTACAATCATTTTAAACGCGAAATATAGCTATTTGTTTGCCTATTTATCATCTCTTCCACCAAATATAATTGACCTATTGCTTATAGTATTTCAAAAATATATTGAAAATCAAAAATTTAACACTGACCAAAATGAATAATGAAACTGAGGCAAAGGTCTGATGAACCCTGCACGATAGATATGTTTACATTACGACGATTCTATACTTTAAATACTTTAAGCTTAATTGCTTATAGAATCTGAGAAACATACCTTATAAGTATACCATGAAAAGTTAACATTATCAAATGTTGAATTGTAAAAGAAACCTTACGATCATTCATACACCAAATATGTTTGACCTACACAAGTTTTAATGTTTTTATGGTCTTTTATCAGTTTATTTCCTGTTTTTTGTCCATATCATTGAAAACAATCACCGGACGCAATACTTGAATGCTCAGAATGGTTAAAACATTTGTCTCAACCGAATTTGTACTCTCTCATACAAAATATTCCAAATTGTTTTATTTTTTGCATTTTAACTCAAAGTCGAAATAAACTGACAACGGCTTGGCCAAAAAAGAAAAGGACCTTAAGACCAACAACATGAAAAAAAAACACAAATTAAAATTAGAGACTGAGCAACACGAACCTCACCAAAACAGGGGTTGAACTCATGTGCTTCGGAAGAGTAAGCAGATGCTTCTCCACATGTGGCATCGGTCGTGTTGCTCATATAAGTACAACTGCGATGATAAGTCTAATTGGGTAGTTTAAATTTGGGGAAAAGAGGACGGGATTGTTGTTAAAACAATTGGAACATATCCGTCATCATCTATGAAACAGATATTCCATAACGGTTAACCAACTCGAAGGCACGAATGCAACTTCACCACTTTGAACTCTTGGTTTAAATAGAGTCCTTGTGAGCAGCACCCCTCTATCAAGGAACTTTCCACTAAGAGATGTAAGGAGATCTAAGTTTGTTGGCTACTATTTTTTTAATTGCTTCAATAATTATTTTTTACGTTTGTCGTTTGGAGACCACCTACACTAAAATCGTGGTCCTAATATTAGTCTTTCTCAACTTTTCTGCACGACTAT